CAATATCACATGTCTCAGGCACTATTGAACTAATTTTGTTGAAATTCTGCACGATAGAAAAGTTATCTAGGAGTTACCTGAGACTAGATGGATTTTTTTGTTTTCTATCAAAAAAAGAGCAATACATGGTATAAATGAGAAAAAAGTAAAACAGAATCCGACCCTGGAATTTTGAGTTTCCAATACACCTTTAGCTCAATCTTAAGCATTATTTTGTAATTTGTTGATGAAACCAAGTTGATAACTTTTAACATTTTGAGTTTTGTGCCACGTGAACCGCCAAAAACAAGTTATTTTTACTAAAAGGAAATGTTAAACTAAAAGACCAAAAGATGCGCATACAATATAATATTTTGCTGGTTAATTAGCATCATCGATTGGCTTTATTGTACATAGTCAAAAATTTCAATATACGGCCTAAAAGTTGCTTTGTATAAAAAAAATAATGTGAAAAATCGAGTCCGGACCTGGATTTTGTAATCATCCATCTATAGTCAACGCCAAACAAAGTGGCGTGCACGTCATCAAGGTGGGTGTGTTGAAAAATTTACATTGTTGCCAAACTTTTTGTAAAATAATAAAATTTATTATTTACATATCTAGGTTTATAAGCAATATTAACCTCAAATGAGAACAAAAATAATAGTATAATAAAATTATAGATCTGTACTTGCATAATCATTAAGTATGACAATTATTGATCAGATGACAATATGAAACTACCATATTTAATTGATAGCTTAAAGGTATTGAATAAAAATCCAAATGGGGTCCTCCAAATTTTATGCATGGTATTTATTTTACAGAATTCATACAGAAAAATGCATTCTAAAATTAGGTAAGCTACTGGTGTAAGCTTTTTCTGTACAATAAAGTTAGTCGGAGTTTCTTTCTTCAGCGCTGCCTGAATCTGAATCTTCATCACTCTCAAAGTTGATTATTAAAGGTTCGATGTCTGGTCGATCGTCGATCAAAAATTCGTTCTCTTTCATACCATTTAAAAATGTCTTGCTCAGTATGTCGAACACTATTTTTCCACATGTCTGGGGTAACCGTTTGTAGAGCCTCGTTCCACATATCCAAACAGTCTTTTTCACTGTTACCATCTCTACCAATATGTCTGTTATAGTAACCTTTTGCTATGCCCCAAATTAACTCAATAGGGTTAAATATACAATGGTAAGGAGGCAGACGAAGAACTTTGTGCCCATGTTGTTCCGCCAATTCATCAATCACGTATATTTTAGGTGGTTTGTTTCTAAAAAAGCAGTTATTTTAAGAATAGGAATAAACAAAAGAAATATAAACTGTCGACCAAAATATATATAATTAAGAAGCATTATGTACCGAGCAACAATACTCAATAGCTCTGTTTTAAACATTGTGTTTAAAAATGGTATGTTTTGATTTGTCAACCAGTCTTGGATATTTTTTTTTGTCCATGCATTGTTGGGCACTTTGTTCAATATCATGCTGTGATAAGGGGCGTTATCCAGTATAATCATAGATGGACTCTCCAATTTTTCTAATAACTGATGTTGAAACCATTTCAAAAAATTGTCCTGGTTCATCTCTCCATGGTAATCGCTCAATTTTGTTTTCGAAGAAAATATCGCTTCACTACCCTCAATAAACCCATTTTCATTTCCAGCATGTAATATAATGTATCTAAAATATATTAGTTTTAAATTTTATAGTGCAAATTGTGTAAAAGTACATACCTTTTACCATCTGTTTTAATAGCTTTCACGCTTTTTTGGTTTCCATTTTGCCAAGAGCGACCTATGGTCCCATTTTGAAATATCCAAGTTTCATCGAGGAAGACAAACTGGTATAAGGCCTCAACCTTGGCTTGATTGTATTGCCTTAGAAATTCCACCCTTTTCAAAGCTATACTTGGTAGTTCCATGAGCCCTCGTCGCGGATTGTCCTTAAGCCACTTAAATCCAAGATCTCTAAGCAACCGCCTTAAAGACGTGGCACTACCATCAAATAATGCCCTATCTCTTAATCGAGACCATAAAGTTTGTATCGTAACTTGTTCTTCTGAAACCATGTGTAATATGACATTATAATTTAGTTAACAAATTAATGCAAATTTCTGATAAGTTATTATAATAAGATCTTACTTTTGTGATACATATTATAGATCACTTCTCGAATGGCACTTGTATCCAATGTCGCTGTGTTGGTTACACGTTTAATATAACTCCGCTTTTTCTTGGGCGATTCTAAATTTGCATCACTTTTCACACCCTCGGAAATACGACTAACTGTCCTTAAACTAATTTTTAAAGCAGCAGCAACACGCTACAAAAAATGAAATAAAATTTCACTATTATTAATATACATTACATATAATTATTAGTAACCTACCTCTTGAACAGCATTTAAAGGCAACAAAGGCCCGTTGTTGTCCCTTTCTTGCTCAAAGTAGTGCATTAACGAGGCCACGAGTTCCTTACACCGACTATTTAACTGTTTGGGCATCTTTATATACCAAAATTGCCTTTATCTACTCGTAAAATGAATAATTTTGTTTTGAAACAAACAGTTGTTGATTTACAGTATGCGGGGCCAAAGGATTTATAAAGATTTGAAATGCCACAAATTGATTCAGTGTCAAAATTAATACAAATGTCAGTTCCCAGTTTAAATAAGTTTCAAGGTGACAATGTGTGAACGCAGCGAAATCGGTTTAGTGCGTTTACATGTCGATAAGTGATTGGAGCGTTTGCAAAACATTTTATTTCGCATAATGCGTCTAAATTTATCAGAAAGCAACTTATGTGATATTTTAATAACAATGTTTATATGACTATTAACCATAATAAGAGAGTAATGACCATTTTACAATTTATATATCACATTAATATGAAACTGCAATAGAGCAATTGTTTGTGATAGAAACCTAGGCATTAGGTCGGGGAATTTTTATCGTGATGACGTGCACGCCACTTTGTTTGGCGTTGACTATAGTTTACATTATTCTTACGTAACTTTGTTGTTGTGCAAAATTTCAATAAAACCACCATCTCAGATGACGAAAAGTATTTCACCTTAAGTAACATAAAGCGAAATTTGCAGATAAAATCCTTGTCTGGTGCGCATTTTCTAACAGTGGTGTATCACAGCCGTTTGTGGGAATAGTGAGGGGTGAAGCTTTGAATAGTCAAAGCTATATCGGTAACTGCCTTTCCAAATTGCTTCAGTTTGCCCACGAACATCATGCTAATGACCGTATCATGTTTTGACCAGACCCAGCATCGTACCATTGCCCAAGAGATACCCAAAACTAGCTTCGACAACATAACATTATGTTTGAAAAACAAGTTAAACAAAATTCACTGCATATAAAGTCAGACTGAATGCTGAGCAATGTTTGATTATTGCTTTTCAAGAAGAAAATTTCCAATCTATCTACATTAATAATAGATTCAAAAATGGCATACATTTGGTAGAATATGATTGGTACATAACAGGTTGGAATTGACAGTCCTCCTCTTTACAAATGATCAAAATAAACATTTGTTGTTAATGAACCTTTTTCTTTAACTATTAGCGATTTGCATATCTCGCAGTTTAGGTTTTTAGAGATAGCGTGCGAAGCATATCCAGATATATGTCTTAGTACTATCCTCTATGTCACAATTGGCTAAGTAGTTTGTATCTAATACTTCATTGAATATATCCAAAACTTCAGGATTTTGTTTGGTATCCGAGAAATCAAAATTTTCTTGAGTTTCTAAGCAGTTTTGGAACCTTGTTTTAATTTCTGCTAAAGAAAATGACGATTTCTTTTCATTGAAAATATGCTTCAGCCGTATTTTCATTTCAGCATTTAAAATTTCATCATAAGACACATTGTAACTGCAGCCACATAAAAGTCTATAATTGTCAAATCGTTATTCTAAATTACCAGTGGTGAATTTTCCAGGCAATACATACTCAATGTCAAATTGATTAAATGAATATTCAATTACATTAAGTAGAGTCAGCGTGCTTTGATATAGAGCTGTATACGTTTCTGGTGTCAGGTGTCCATTATTATTCTCTAGATTATGCCATTTTTCTAACCATATCAGGTATTTTTTTAAAAATTGTACTCTATAATCATATTTATCGGTAATAGGCTTACAAAATTCGTTTCGCTTCAATTCTCCTTTTATTACACTTGTATTACTGACAATATCCCACCAATTCCTGATTATTTCCAAAAAGTGTGCAGCATCATTAAACTTTAATTCTTTCATAGCAGCTATTGTTGAGTGATGGATGGATTATGTTTTCTCAGCGTTTTGAGCACGAGTTGCGTCGATGCAGCAAGCAGCGGCGGGAGTAACACTACCACCTACGTTGCCAGATCTCTTTGTTCACGGCTCGTAGTTGACGTCGGCTGTGGTTCGATCAAGGTTTATCATGGAGGCTGGGAAGCCCAAGATGAAGAACCATTCCTACCTCTATTTAAGTACGAAACGCCCAGTATTTGTATCATCACATTTTCACATATTAACTGCAACTACCTACCTCTGTTGACTCAATCGACGTTCGGGTGTACCGCAAAAGATCGTTTCACCTTGAGACAATCACCAATTAGACATCGTTCCACGCTGAACGGCCACCGAAGCGTCTGTTTTCCATTTAATTAGAAGACTCTCTCCGTATATATCACCTTCAGTCCCCCTTCTCCTAATCAAAGTGAATCCAATTAGTTCTATGCTCCGCCTTGAAGAACACCCTTCCCCCATTGTTAGATTGTTCTCTATGAAGCTATTAACTGTGTTCATTGGTGGGGCGATGTTTACGTACTGGGATTCGGGCTAATTGTTTGGAGTTTAGACGTTCGTTATGATTATGATGTTATTTTGTTGGGTCGCCCACCAATAGGGTGTCCCAGTGTCCCAGTCTATGAAGTTTTATAATCCAAAGCAACTTGATTATTATGTTATAAAAATGTTTTGTCGTCATGGCACAACCAACACAAGATATATGAGGATATGCTATATTTATAATATGCCAAGCAGCTTTCATATTGCTCGCATTGTCAGTCACTATTAAAAAAAAATTGTGGCTCTATGTCTTGGATAACTTTGATAAGTTCGTTACTTATATACGTTCCCGTTTCTTTTGCAATTTCCAAAGGACATTTTGAACATTGGTTTAATATATGATTCGTCATGCGCGTTGCGTTTGGAAAGGCGTATTTAAAACAGCAAAACTTACACACAGCCTTGGATTTTTTATCTGTTTTTTCAATAACAAATAATTGCCAAATATCTGAAGAACGTCGAACCATATTGTCCTGCAACAAGAAAAAAATACATAAATAAAATATCTTGCTGCACTTGATCAACTGATCAAATTCTTGTAATTTAAGAGTATAGAGATAATAATTATTATTATTGAATCTTGATATTAGTAATAAAGAAAGTTAAGGGAAATATGCAAGGAAACTGAAATCCCACCTTCAAAACACTTGAGAAGCTATTCCAAATTTAATAAAATACTCACTTACCAGAAACCAAAACAAACACTTGGGTCAACAACACTAACAATCTTCAGAACAAACACACTCAATTATTACAGCAAAATTTCACTTTGTATTATTCATTTACTGCGCTTATGATAAGGCTAAATTAAAATGCGTGCTTTAAAATAAACAAGACGTGTCAATATTGAAGAATCTCATTCTCAACTGAACAATTCAGGAATACGGGGATTCACCGAAATGCCGTGTCGCTGTGCGTGATCGGGAATTAACCGAAAGCTGTAGTGGTCGGGGATTCACCGAAAATCGACGGGTATTTATCGAGAACTAATCCTTCGGAGCCGTAGCTTGCGGTTTTGATTCAAATTATTTCTGTTTGATTTATATTAATGGAAAAATCAGTAACCAGAATACTTTTATCTTGTATCTTTGAAGTTGAGTCATTAATTTTCAGATAATGATTGTAGAAGGAAGATAAACCAAAATATTATAAAAAAAATTACCTTGTTTTATAAAGTATCCTCCCGACAAGTATTTCAGTGCGGACCTGTATTTGATCGTGAGGTCTTGGAGCACCGGCATGCCGTCACCTGATTCACGAGCCCGTTGTACTACATTAACAAAGGCACGAGGGGTCGGTTGCACTCGATTGGGAAACCGATCCGCATAAACATGTGCCATTGTTTATTTCGTTTGAGCCACGCAACATACACCACTATTCACTGACACTGACTGTATACAAATGAATAAAATAATTGTAAAAACATCGTTCCAAATTATTTCGCTTTTTTGTTGCCGATGCGATGAACCGATACGGCGGATCATATCCGTTGTCGCCAAACACGAGCACATAATATTATTATTGAGACAGGGCGGTACTCAAACTTCCAAAGGGCTATAACTTTGTTACTTTAATTTTACCGGAAAAATGGTAAAGGAAAAAAACATTTCTTTTGATCAGATCTACTCACTGTTAAAATAAATGACTCAACAAATTTCAATTTTTCCGTATTTTTCCTTTTTTTCCTCAATTTTTCCGGAAAAAAACACGTATCTTGAGTGGCCTTGAAAAAGATATGTTTCATAGGAAACCAACGAACGTGTCTATACGACGTCTTGTAGCTGTGATATTTTAACGTCCATCTAACGTTACCAGGACGTGAACTGAATGGTCATCTAGGTCACTGAATTGACGAAAAATTGGCGTCACTATTACGACTTCCCCCTACACGGGTACTCGTACTTTACCCTCGAGTATCACTTCGAGTGTCAATTATAAATGTGGACAAGGTGCGTTGTAGAATTTTTTGTCTCGGTAATTTTCAGGGCACGCCCCTGGTCCAACACTCTAAAATTAGAACAAAAGTACGTGTAAGTTAAAAATTGTAATAAAAGTCTGGGAAATTGTTGGGCATTCTGTTAGAGGAAAACGACTCTTTTCCGCTGCTAATGGGCTTTTTCCAATTAAGAGGCCGCGCTTAGAGCTGAAAATTGAATTTTTTCAAAGGATCCAAACAAATACCTCTACGGACTTTTACCTCCCGGGTGTTTAATGAACATTTTAACTGACGGAGGCCACTAGATTTTTATACCGGACGAATAGAGGAAATACGGGGTTTCCCATTGACACCGTAGAGGAATTAAGAGAAAGAATAGTTGCAGCTTGTGATAGAATAAAAAACACTCCAGGGATATTTCAACGAGTGCGCAATTCCATGAGAAGGAGGGCGGAAGCATGCATACTAAGTGAATGGGGCCAGTTTCAACAATTTTTGTAATCATTTCGTTGGTTTTAATGTCATGTTTATGTTGTTGTCCATTACCTCTAATGTGTTTAATTTTTCCAATTTTCAAATTCAACAAACCCGAGCTTTTGTACGGAAACATTTTTGGACCATTGTTCCATATAAAGCAAAATAAAATTAATATAGCAGACTGAGACACTGAGTTTGCGTTACAGCTGACTCTGCAGCTTGCTAGATAAAATACCTTCAGGCTGTAGAGCAAAGCTTTTCAAACGTGTTTCATCTACTGCCCACTTTGAGAATGAATTATTTTCTAGAGCCTCAAAAATAGTTTTTTATTATACAAGGTGTCGGGAGAAAATGCTACCTCAACCTAAAATCTAGTATTTTTCCGGGGTATAATACACAATTTTTTTCTGTGACGCGAAAAATTTCGATCTAATATTGAAAAACTATATTATTACAATATTTAAGTCAGAAAATTATTGATGTGATATTTGAATTTTGAAATCAGTAGGCTATATTATACTTATTGCGAACAATAACACTGATCAACAGCCAAAAAATATCCTAAATAAAATCAACAAAATATTACTATTTTTAATGATCTAAAACCAGAATGAAACTTATTTTTTCAATATTAGTTCAAGTTTTAGAGATACGGTAATTATATGTGTTCCTGCTGTGACAGTGTTAATATACTGTAATTCACAAGAATGCACGTGCTACATTTTTATATTCGGCAAGGAAAGAAAATTATAGCCGAGGACATAACAGAACCACTCACTTACCTAATCAACAAATGCTTTGAATCTGGCATATATCCCTCAATTTTAAAAAAGGTAATATAATACCGATACATAAATCAGGAACAAAAACAGATGTTAACAACTATAGACTAATATCAATAATATCCAGTGTAGCAAAGGTTTTTGAAAAAGTTTTATCTACTAGAATGATTCGATACCTCACAAAATTCAAAATTTTAAGTGAAAATCAATATGGATTTACAGAAGGGAAGGCTACATCGGACGCAATAACTAAAATTGTAAATCAAATACATCAAAATATTGATAACAGAATCCCTTCAATCTGCATTTTTGTTGATTTAAAGAAAGCTTTCGACACAGTTAATCACAAATTATTATTAGAAGCATTGGAGAGAATTGGTTTCAGAGGAAACGCGTACTCACTGATCGAAAGTTATTTGTCAAATCGCCCACAATCTGTGCAGATATCAGGATCATTTAGTAAAGAAATGTATATTAAGTGTGGTGTCCCACAAGGAACTGTCTTAGGTCCGCTGTTATTCAATATATATTTAAATGATATTTTCCAAATTAATTGTGTTGGCAAAATAACTAGTTTTGCAGATGATACTGCAATATTATATGAAGGCACTGACTGGTCTGATCTGAAAAATGTAATTGAAATGATTTTATCAAAATTATTCGGTGGTTTAACAGTAGAAAATTAAGCATTAACTACTCTAAAACACATTTTTTACCATTTGGATCTTATGCAGACATCTGCCAAATTACACAAATTTCTCCTTCAATATTAATGATCAAAAAATGCAAATTAATAGAGTGCCCAACATAAAATACCTTGGAGTGGGCTTGGATCCTCACTTACGATGGGACATCCATGTCAATTATATTTTAAAGAAAGTTAGATTTGTATCCTACAAAATTAAATACCTTGGGAATATATTGACAGAAAAATATCTTCGAACATTATACGATGCACTGATTGAGCCTCATCTCACATATGGTATATTAGCATGGGGAGCTGCATGTTCCTCACATATCTATAATTTAGATGTTTTTCAAAAAAGTATTCTAAAAATGAAATTTAAAAAACCGAAACTTTATCCCACTGAAAAATTATACGCAGATGTTCGAATGTATGATATAAGACAGCTTTATTTCTTACACAGTATCACTCACTACCATAAATTTCTAAACACCGACCAAAAAATTAAACATAATCATTATACCAGGTACAAAATTCGTGGCACAGTAGTTCCTCAACCGCATAAATCTATAATGCAGCGATCATATCTCTATTTAGCTCCTAAATTTTATGAAATTATACCTAAAGACTTAAAAGATTTACGTTTCGGAAATTGTTTCAAAAGAAATTTAAAAAAGTGGCTACATTCTATATCTAGGACTGAAATTCATAAACTCATAAATACGAACATCAACTAAATACATAATCTACTGTAGCTAATTTTTGTCCTTTTTTGTCATTTGCATTCTACAGCTTCAACTTAAATTATTGGTCCATGTACAGGCGATACCTTCTATTGGGCCTGTTTTGATTTTATATTTATTTACTCATATTGTTTGTTATCTTTGTACATTGAGTGAATAAATATTATTATTATTATTATTATTCCTTAACTTGAAGGGGAATAACGTGTATACTGAATACAACAACTTCTGCAACAATCATTTGCCACGGCCCCGCTCAGTAGGCTTTCGAACCTGTGATAAGATGTCATATGCTTAACGTTGCTGTAACCAGTATGACAGAAAATGATCTTAAGTCTGTGGAAGATGGGATCCAGTCACGAAACCGTCAAGCTGCATACAAGTCGCAGAACGAGCGCTAACAGTGCATAATAATAAATCCTGAATATAATTCGTTTACCACTCTCTCTAAGCCTTTCCACTTATTCGCAAGCATGCCGCTGGGGGAGACATTGATAGCATCGCGATCCATGCCGCGAATTCGAAACGCTGCATCGGAAGTGGAGTTTTCCATGAAGGGGATACAATCATCGCGGTTGTGACAGGTCGAATGAGGGTGACAGTGTCCTTGAGAAGTGGCCTTGTTAGGGCTAAGGGTTATTATGGCACAAATACATAGTAAAGAGGATGCTGTCTCTTGAAAAGCCGGTTTATGACGGCACAAAAATCGACCACAGCGAAAGCGACACCAACAATCTATCTCTTGGAACTGTATGAAAGTTCGCATCGTCAGCCGGGTCACCACTGTGACCGCTAGATGCCGACGATTTTGGAGCTATAGTAGATAAGTTAAACAATTTAATTATGTTTATTAATTTTTTCAATTAGTAGACAAGGCTCGAAACATAGTTTGGACGTTTGATGATGAGGAGACACCCTTAGCTGTCAGAGAATCCCGGTCTGTTAAGAAAACATGATAGCTGTATTTTTCAAATCAAGCGGGATTGTGGAGCGGTCGTCTTGGACACGCAGAAAACAGCACAGCTAAGTGGTACACGAAACAGTGCCTGCCTAAAGTCATAGAGTTTATGGAAAACCTGCGGCCAAAGTCAAGAATGGACACTTGGTATACTTTATCTGAAGTTACTTGATATAGCATAAAAACCTTTCGTC